CCGCGGGGAGCGGCGGGATCGCCGGGTCCTTCCGCTTGCGGCCGCCCCGGCCCCGCGTCGGAACCGGAACCGGATTCGGAGCCGGATCCGGGCGCTGCTCCGCGCCCGCCCGGGGGCGTTTCGGGGACATCCCGGCGTTCCGCGGAGCCGGGATGCGGATGGGGAGGGGGGCCGGGATGCGCTGGGATGGACACGGGGCGCGACCGGGATCGGGATCGGAACCGGGATTGGACTTTGCCAGGGCTGGGATGGGGATCTCCCTGCTCCGGCTACGGGATTGGGACCGGGATTGGGATTGGGACCAGGATTGGGATTGGGACTGGGACCGGGATTGGGATTCGGACTGGGATTGGGACCAGGATTGGGATTGGGACTGGGATTCAGATTGGGCTCAGGATTGGTTTTGGGATTGGGACCAGGATTGGGACCGGGATTGGATTTGGGACCAGGATTGGGATTGGGATTGGAATTGGGATTCAGACCAGGATTGGGATTGGGATTCAGACTGGGATTTGGACCGGAATTTGGACTAGGATTGGGATCGAGACCGGGATTTGGCTTCACCCAGGACCAGAACCAGAACCAGGACTGGGCTCTCCCCCCTGCGGTGCCGCTCTGGACCGGGACCGGGATGAGGACCCGGATCAGGATCCGTCCCTCCCTGCTCCGGGTCCGGCTCTGGTCCCGGTGCCGGTCCCGGTTGGTCCCGGTTGGTTCCGGGTTCGGTCCCGCTCGGTCCCGCCCCAGTCGCTGCTGGTTCCGGTTCTGGTCCTAGTCCCGGTCGGTCCCGGTTGGTCCCGGTCCCAGTTGCTGCTGGTCCCGGTCGGTCCCGGTCGGTCCTGGTCCCGGTCCCAGTGCTGGTCAGACCTGGTCAGTTCCAGTCGGTCCCGGTTCCGGTTCTGGTCCTGGTCCTGGTGCCACTCCCGGTTCTGATCTTAGTCCCAGTCGGTCCTGGTTGGTCCTGGTCCCAGTCCCGGTTCCGGTCGGTCCCGGTTCCGGTCGGTCCCGGTCGGTCCCAGTTGCTGCCAGTTGGTCCCGGTTCTGGTCCCGCTCCCAGTCCCGGTTCTGCTCCTGGTCCCGGTTGGTCCTGGTTGGTGCCGGTCGCTGCCGGTCGGTCCCGGTCCCGGTCCCAGTTCTGGTCCCACTCCCGCTCCTGGTTCCGGTCCTGCTCCCAGTCC